GGTCTTCCCGTTTGAGTACTTTTCAATTTAGACCCAGTGCTGTGGAAGGGCGCGGACTTGTGCGGTGTTACCCCCTCGACGGGGGCTATCTCCCCTGGACTAGCCCAGGGAGGGAGAGGCGGAGGAGGGTAGTAGTCTCAGGAGGCTGTTTGGCGTCTTGTGGTGTGAGCTCTTTGCGCTCTTTTTTGCGTGAGGATTTTTGAGCTTGGTGACCTCCCCAGCCCGGGAAGACTCGTCGGGCTCCCGGTCGCCCAAGTCCTGGTAGCGAGCTCTCTGAGATGCTCGGTTCGTTCGGTCGGCAGGAAGAGCCCCCCAGTTGCGACTTCGTTTATGTTAGGAGACCAACGGGCATAGATCCCGTCTAGTTGGAGCGCCAAACAAGCGCTGTTGCGTGCCGGCCGTCGTTTCCCGTGCGGCCTGACCCGGGGGCGGAGTGCATGAGACTAACCAGCCGTATGCACCCGCCCCCCGCGCTGTGCTTCGGCCCTGGGCCCCCGGCTTTTCAGCCCACAGTGTAATCAACGTCATACATACATACATACATACATACATACATACATACATACATACATACATACATACATACATACATACATACATACACATAACCACATACATACAATACATTATTAGGGTTGGCAAAATCTTTAGATGGGAAAAGTATCTAATTAGAAATCTAATTAGATACCTAATCTAATTAGGTAAATCTTTAGATGGCCAAACGGAAAACTGCCTAAACGGTGGAATTTTGACCTGAAATTTTGCACACGATGCGGCTTTATCTTTTCCTGGACTTCTCAATAATTTTTTGGGCCGCTCGACACTGGGAACACGCCGAACCCCTATGGGCGCTCTACAGACGCGTGTCGGATGGCGCCACGGGGTGTAATTAGGCACCCCGCGTAATTAGGTCGGGGTGCTCGATCAGGTGGAGGGCGATGTTGCACTTGAAGAAGAAAAGAGCCAGGTGCTTCAGGAAGGTGGCGATTTGCACTGCAGCGAGGAAGAAGGTCCGAACTGGCCCCTCCTCCGCGCGCGAGCGCTTCGTGCTGTTGGTTGTGGGCGCCCCGGACTGCTCGCTTCCGACCGTGCTGGCGACGTCCTTCTGGTGCTTCGCATAGTGATCCGGGCAGACAGCTGACGGGTTCTTCGCGCTGTAGGACTTGTTGCAAACGGTGCAGACGAGGTTCACAATGCCGTTTACGAGCAACACGTCGAAGATGGACCAGTACGCTGCGGCTTTGATGCTGCGCTTGGCTTCGCGGAGCTTAGCTGCGTACTGTGGCACGTCGAAAGTCTGGTGGTTGTATTTGTATGTGATCGGCTTTTGGGGTCCTGGTTCTGCCATTGTGTATTTTTACGTCTATTTGTGTATGTAATAGAGCGGAGCAAGGATATGACACTAAAGTTACCTTCAACATCGCTGTTTCGCGTGCCATGGCTCACGTTTGAACGGTCTGGATCCGGTCACCGGCCTTTAGATAGGCATTAGATGGACTAGATAAGTTTAGATGCCCACCTAAAGGGTTTAGATGGCCTCATCTAAAATCTATATAGAAATCTAATTAGATGGCATCTAAATTATTTTCTAAACCTAAACTTCCGACCAACCCTATACACTATCCTATTAATACTGTCCTCTTAAACCCATCCCCACATCCTTCGCCCTCCCCCACGGCCCAACCACCCTCTCACCTTGTCAATCACCACCGTCGCCAGGTCCACCGCCTCCTGATCTCCCACCACGCCCCACAGCCTGTCGCTGGCGTGAATGGCGAACGTGTCCAGCTGTGGCGCCAGCACCAGCGCTGCCACATCAGGCTGGGAAGAAATGGGCGAGGCGGCCTTGAAGTCCCGGTCGCCGAAACCCCTGGCGCCAAAGCCGCGAGAAACGACGGGGACAGACGGCAAATGACAGATCACCAGGCTTGCGAGTGAGGAGGAGTTACTCTCCCTTACAAAACGCACCCGTTGGGTTTTCCCCCGACCGCATCTCAGTTGCCCTTTGGTGGTGACACTTAGCTGGGTCGAGTTCTTACCAATGTACGGTGCACGGCGTACGGACGACGCCCAGTTTTCTCAAGTTCTCTCAAGTAGCGACCCAAACACATCCATCCACCCACGTGCACAACGGGGAAGTGGGAGGGCCACCACCGACAGCTGTAGCACCCCCCCTCTTCTCCCCCTCCCCCTCATTTCCAGCTCCCTCGGGCACCAAGCTAGTAAAGCCCCACCCCAATCCCCTCCTCATTTCACCCCAACATCTCACCAGCCCCTACCAGTCCCTCCATGTCTACTCCCACCTACCACACCTGCGCCTCCCCACGGTCTCTTTCCTTGGCAGCAGCTTCACTCACTCGTGATTCGTCTCCCCCCTTTTTCCTAATATTACTATCTTAATAATAGTAATATTATCTTTTCGTCAAGCGTCTGTGTTTC